CTCTGTAATTAACATGGATGGGGCAGAGATCAGAGGACAGAGGACGCCATGGATTCCCCATCAGCAAGCTTTGCTCAGGTTGTAGGGTGGGCCATTAGGTTATGCAACTCTCAGATCTGGAATAATATCCAGTGAAACCTGAGGCCTCTTCCTGGGAATCTGCTTTGAGTTTTCCTCTGTTGATGAGAAGACTTGACAAGAGATTCTTTTTTGTATTGAATTATTGAATGTTATTCGAAATTTGACAGATTGAAGCCATTTTATTTTTAATCGAGGAAAGGGTGTGGTTCGGTTGGTTGGTTGGTTGGTGACTCAGTGCTTTTATTTAAAGAAGACGGTGTCTTGTATGTTTGTTTTATTGACTCGTGTCAGTGTGCACTGCCACTCCACTTCCTTGTAGGGTAGTTTCTAAGTGTGAACTCAGAAAGAAACCTAAACGTGACCGCTTAATACAGAAAGTGGTCTATTCATCGATGCAAACATTTTCAGACGTACCGTATTATTTCTGCATATGTCTTACATTTTTGTCGTATATCTTTGGGTGACTTGTTTAATCTCCTTTTTGTCTTAAAGTTTTGTATTTTAAACACTTGCTTAAAATCACACCTTTCTACAGGGTACCCTACTGAGTGTGCTTTTTTGTTTGATATTTTGTGTGGCTAGTGGATGACTTGTGAAATGGGTTCCTGGTAGCCCCTTCTCATTCTTTTTTTTCTCTCCTACTCTCCAGGCATATTCTAGTCAACAACGTGACTGTAATTTGAATGTTGCCATTTTTAGGATCTTTGAAAGGGCTTTGTAATTTTGGTATGCTGACATGTGAAAAGTCACAACTTCTCAGTGCAATGTCACATCCTAGGACACAACAATGGCATTTAGTGGGAAAACCAGAGCAATCTGAACCAAGTCCGTGATAGTAACAGTAGTACCGTGGGAATTACTTAATAGTAACGTAGTACTACTGCGTTGTTTTTAGTTTTGATCATTTCTGTGGTTATGTAAGTTATCAACTTTAACGGAAGCCAGGTCAAAGGTATGTAGGAACTCTTTTCGTATGTAGTGGAAATCTAATTATCCAAAGCTTTAAATGTATGGTCCTGTGACTCAACAGGGGTGAGTTTAGGTGCCAGGGGTACAGAGGCTTGAGGCTGGTCTCTTCTCTGCAGAACTTCTCAGTCTCGCTGGCAAGCCCAAGGTCTTCTTAGCCATAAAAAGGTGAATGACAGTACCTTTACGAGGCAGCCCACGCAGTGAATGATGCAGGGAGTCTTGTGAGATAGTAGACACGGAACGTTTGAGAGGCCCTTGAAGAACAAGTGAAACAGGAGGTGAGCTGGGATGGGTGACTGACTACAACTTGGTGAAATCAGGGTGAGGTGGTTTTAAGAGATGGGAGATGACAGGAATTGAGGGGAAGAACATGCCGGTGGTGATGCAGGATGAATTCAAGTGAGCTAATGGAGGCTTGCTGTCATCAAAGTATGATAAGGGTCTTCCGGGCATGGTGGTGGTAGAAATTTAAGGAATTATTTGAGAATTGATAGGATTTGGTGATAATGGATATAGGCGCACAGAAGAAAAACAAATCGATGGTGGTTGATGAACTTGAGCCAGCGGAAGTTACCTAGGGCGTTTGTGTTGAACATTTTTATTTTCCGGGAATATTGGACTGTCAGGTAGAGTTGTCTGGCAAGAAGTTAGACCTGGGCTACCAGAGTATGGGAGAGGAGCAGACAGTTGCGGACTGTTCTCTTTAGTGAGCAGGAAAAGAAAAAGCTGAAAAGGAAATCTAACGGCTGAGCATTGAGAGAGGTGAAGAGAGGTCGTGGGGTCATTACAGTATTCCTGAAGCAGGTAAAGGAAGGTTTCAGCAAGGAGGGTGTGCGGTCTGTGGCTGCATGTGTGTCAGAGAGAAAGAAAATTGTAAAATCCTGAAATAATTGCTATCTAGGTGGTCAGTCGTATGAGAAGGGTGGGCCTGGAATCCAAATTATAGGGGTTAAGGAGGAAGAGGGCGTGTGTGTATGTGTGTACAGGAGGGGGTTGCTGAGAAGTGGAGAGAGCAAATTTACACTAGTTTTTAGAGAAGTTTGGCTGTGCAAAATCAAGGATATATCTATACAGGCCAGCAGCCGAAGAGGGCAAAAGAAGGTTATTTTAATTAAATTTAACAAACATTTATCAAGTGCCAGTTATGTGCAGGGCACTGTGTTAGGGGCAATGGAGGCCACAAAAAGTGATTAAAATATAGTGTTTTTTTCCCTCCTGAAAAAGCGCTACCTCGGGTTCTTTCAGCGTTCACCGGGCAGTTCATCTTAAACCAAATGCTAGGGATGCTGGTACCCGGCTTGCTAGCAGAAGGACAAGATCGGTGAGAGAGCAGGAGTAGGGGAGGGCGCTGGAGAATCGACAGCAATGGAAGGGAAGAGGGGCCGACCACAACCTGATGGCCTGGGGAGGTGGGGAAGGGTCTCAGCCTTGGAAGGGAAAAGGGCCCCTCCTTCCTCACAGGTGGGCATGGAGGAGGGAGGATCAGGTGGTATCAGAGCTGCTTTGAGGTAGAATAGTGAGTGCATATTGTGCACCAGCCTCTAGGGCTGTGTTTTCTGCCTTTGAACAGTTCCTGGTTGACTGGAAACATGAGGATGATAGTGTTTCTATTTTGTCCTGCAAGAAGAAAATAACAGTGAAACACCTGCACCTTTGAAGGTTTGTTTTTGACTGAGGGCTTTTTTTCTTTGCTTTTGCTTTTTTTTTTGTCTAATGAAATAGACATACATATTTTGAAGTTGCCCAGATATTCTGAGTCTGGGTGCCTGCAGTGAGCTAGGGTTTGAGTCGGATGTAGACTCCCAGAGTTCAGAGTCGAGGGAAGGTGAGAAGAGAGGCACATTTGCAGGCTCTTCATAAATGCTTGCCAATTGAACTCTGATCTGAGGCAGAAAGTGGCTACACGCCTGACCCATACCCACGAAGTATTAGGCCATTTAGAGGAGAAAGGGAATTGGAGCATTGTGTGGTTATTTCAGTGGAATGAGGTTTTGAAATAAATTTGCCATGTATTTACCTAAAGGCCTTGCTTTCATCATAGACATTATTTCCTGCACATCTAGGACATATGATGGTGTGCTCATACTTTTTGGTCACAACTAAGTGACAGTACATAAAGAGTCATGAACATGATTTTGGCTACTCACATGAAAAAACACATTACTTTGAACTGTCCAGACAGTTCGTGCTTTGCAAGACCACAGGGTGGGTGTGAGTTGGTGGAAAGTCTGGAATGCTGCTCCGGTTTTTCTGTTTTATACATGTAAACTTGCTTTGAAAGTGTCATTACTTTATTGATTGTATCTTAACTGCATGTAGCCAGAAAATAGTTGTGGGTCAATTGGAGAAAAGAGCTAATTAGTGCTATACTTTGACTTTTATGGTCAGACACAGGAAGACACGTAGAGGGGAAGAGGAAGGAAATAAAAGTCACTTGGGGAGGAGAAAAAAATACTTTTTTCATTGAAATATTTTTTTATATATAAATATACATAATTTTAATTTTTTAGTATCTATTTATTTGAGAGAGAGACAGAGGCAGAGCACAAGCAGAGGAGGGGCAGAGAGAGGGAGACACAGAATCCGAAGCAGGCTCCAGGCTCTGAGCTGGCAGCACAGAGCCCGACACGGGGCTCGAACTCGTGAACTGCAAGATCATGACCTGAGCCGAAGTCGGATGCCTTCCTGACTGAGCCACCCAGGCGCCCCACATACACACTTTTAAAAAAGCATTTCAGGATCCTTTTTGCCAGCGAAGGGCAGCAGCATACACCGCCCCACATATTTTTTTAAAAGCTATTTTGTGCAGTCCTACTTGGAAAGATTATAGAAGCCTCTTTGGCTGTCATAGGATAGACCTGACAAGTGATTTATTTAGAGGCATTAATTAAAATGTAATCACTACAGAAGTTAGTCTGAGAATTTCTCAGCACTTGTTCTCCTCCAGCACTGTTAAGCAGGGTCTCCAGTGGAAGGGGGTTCCTGTTGAGGGACATGTTTAACTTCACGCCCTCCTGTCACCTCCCCCTCCTCCTCCCCACTCCTGGGAGGCAGCAAGGCCTGCCCAGAGCAGTTCCTGTAGCTGAGCTTGATGTGGCCTCTGCTGAGGTCAAGCACTCCCATTCCAGCCTCTCGAGGGCTTTCTCCATGTGTTGCCAGTGTGCTGGTAAAAATGACTTTAAACTCTTGTCAGCACAGTTACTGGTGCATGCATCACAGTCCCCCTCAGATAAACCTGTCACAACACAGAGGCGGCCGCTAGAGAAGAGTACAAGGGCAGGCCTCTAGCTTTCCATTCGAGCATCACTAAACGTGCACAGAGTGCCCAATTATTTCAGCATTATTGAGCAAGCCTACAGGAGGACCCAGGCCTTGCTACATTAGATTTTCTTTAGTAATTTGCTCAAGTACCACTGAGGACACTTAAAGGGCTTAAAACGGTGGCTGCAACCAGTTTCCTTTTCTGGGTTGTTAATTCAGGTTTTCTCTTTCAAATTAACTCTTGCTGCATGCTGTGCAGCGGTTCTGGGAGAACTGTTTAACGCTAATTTTCTCAATTTTCAGCTTTTTTTTGGTTCACCATAACTGCTCTAACAGTTAGTCACGTATATGTTTTGATTAGAAATGTATGATAGCAAGGCCTTATATTTTGGAGAACAAAATATGAACATTTTGAAGAAATCTGACTTTCGGCTATTAAAAGTTACTTAGCTAATTTCAGTGAGAATTAAGTTCTTCACAGTGAAGTGCAAAACCCCCAAATCTAAGGGCATTTCTCCATTATACATCTCCCTCCCTCCCCTTCTAAAAAATAGGTATACAAAAGAGGAACCTTTCCTTCATGGGTGCTGGGTTTTCCATGATCTGTTTGCACCTCTTTTCTTTTGGAGGGGGGTGGGGGGACGTGGAGGTGGGGAACAAGTTCAATATCTGTGTCTCATTTCTCACAGCAGCAACAACTCCAGGCCCAGCATTTGTCACATGGACATGGTCTGCCGGTGCCTCTGACCCCACACCCTTCCGGCCTTCAGCCCCCAGCCATTCCTCCCATTGGGAGCAGTGCTGGCCTCCTGGCCCTCTCCAGTGCCCTGGGAGGCCAGTCCCACCTTCCAATTAAAGATGAGAAGAAGCACCATGACAATGATCACCAAAGAGGTGAGTGATTACCTCAAGATGTCAATCTGCTGTTACCTGCCTGCCACTGAGGGTGGGTTCTGGATACCGTTGTGCATTCTGGCTCTGGATTTAACTTTACCAGTGACTGACTCGACAAAGGATTTCTGATAGAAGGGAAATTAATGATTGGAAGCAGTCTTTTTCCAAATGATACCCTAGCGGTTAGCAAGAGTTAATGCAGTCCCCAAAGGCAAGGGCTCCTGTTTCCTGGTTACTGCCTTTGACCCCGTGCTACCTCCTGTGTTCCCCAAGTCTAGATCAGTAATGAAGTCCCACAGTGCTCCATGTTTGAAATAGTGAGTGGCATTAACAGCTCATTTTGACCTCCTCTGTTTTGGGAAAAGACTTACTGATAGAAACTACTTGATAATTTAACAGAGCCAATTATTATTTATAAATCAGATCAGCCTATCTGGTGCGATAAAAATCTTGCAGGTGAGAAAACAATTTTAGTAGTCTTAGTACTTGAGAAAGTGCAGCCCAAATTAAATCTGTTGATTTAACTACCTCTCTCACACAGGCTGTCTGGAAGCATGAAATGAACTCATCTCTTCCTAGAAGAACAGCACAATTGTTTATGCAAATAATTGATTTAAAGGACAGTTGTGCTCCTTCTAGATTGGTTTCTTCCCTCCGTTAAAGTATATGAGATATTTTGATGTGACCGTCTGTTTGTATGGTGCTTACCGATAATTTTTATTAGTCAATGGCAGAAAAGCAAACAAGATTTCTCCCAGCATTCCTTTGTGGGAATTTAGTTAGCACAAGGGTGGTTCATTCATTAGAAGGGTGTGGTTGTAATTAAAACTTCATATCTACTCCTCTTTCAGTGTCATTACCATGAATTACAATCTTGGGTAAATGATTTTTATCACCTAAACATAAATTTCCCATCTCTGATGTTGGAAACACTGTAATGTTGTCATCCAGTTACCTAAATGCTGTGATGCAGAGCTGAAGCATGACTATAAACATCTTTGTAAGTGGACAAGTCAATAAGGAGTATAAATAATCTGAGTATCCAGCTTTGGCCTCTGAAATTGTGTCAAAGGTAGATTGGCACTTTGCGTGTGGATCTGGTCGAATGGCATTAATAATGAACTTGAATGCAAAGTTGCCATCTGTGCCATTTATTATTTAGCAGAGATCAAGTTTGATAAATGGATGATCTTATGTAAGCTAACTGGTACTTTTCTTTTCCCTTCTTCCCACCACCTGTGTTGCTGCCGTTTTGCCTGTAGACAGAGACTCCATCAAGGTAGGACTCAAACCCACAGATTAAGGAATGGCTTACTAGGTCTCTAAATGATTTGAATAAATCTAGAAATGGAGTCTTCGAAATGTACAGAATGATGTGGTGGGCTTTACCAAATAGTGGTCAGCTGCATTTTTTGACTGTTTTCAGTTGTGTGTGGGAGGTTTTTGAAAATCTCAGTCTTATTTTTCTGTCACAATCTGATTTATAGACCAAGATTGTCCTACAGAAGATCTGGCTTGCAGTGCTCATTTTATTATGTCTTGCTGTGTGACAAAGAATAACTACTTCTTTTCACTTAGGCTTTGGCTGTAAGATAAATAATAATGAAGAGTAAATAAATTGATTGATAAGAAATGTACCTTAGTCTCATTTTAGAAAACAATTCCATCCTACAAAACTCCTTAACAAAACATTTGTTTTAAAGCGTTTTTCTTCGGGGCACCTGAAGTAGCTCAGTTAAGCGTCCCGTTCTTAATTTTGGCTCCTGTCACGATCCCAGCGTTGTGGGATCGAGCCCCGTTTGGACTCTGCTCTGAGCGTGGAGCCTGCTTGGGATTCTCTCTCTCTCTCCCTCTTTCTCTTTCTCTCTCAAAATAAATAAATAAACTTAAAAAATTTTGTTTAGGGGCGCCTGGGTGGCGCAGTCGGTTAAGCGTCCGACTTCAGCCAGGTCACGATCTCGCGGTCCGTGAGTTCGAGCCCCGCGTCGGGCTCTGGGCTGATGGCTCAGAGCCTGGAGCCTGTTTCCGATTCTGTGTCTCCCTCTCTCTCTGCCCCTCCCCGTTCATGCTCTGTCTCTCTCTGTCCCAAAAATAAATAAACGTTGAAAAAAAAAATTAAAAAAAAAAAAATTTGTTTAGATCTAAAAGGTATGACCCCATTGAATAACATCTTGTTTCCTGGTATAATAAGGTATTCTCCTTAAGTTTTGCATCTCTCTTATCTGCCTCTATATCTCTTTATAGACAAGTTGTAGGGAAAGAGGAAAAGTATTGGGGGCCTAATAATTTGGATGTGGTTGTGTAACCCCAGAATGGGATGTACTCAGGATACCTGAATTTATATAGTAAGCAAACAAGAAAAACAGGCCACCACAGCAGGACATGAGGAAAATATGAAAATCGTTCGATCACTTTTGAGCCAGGCACGGTGTAAATATGCCCGTGTGTTACGCATAATTATATATGTAATATGTATTGTATTTTGTACAGATTAGAAGGAAAGCATAGTTCTCAAGCATCGGCCAATGCACAGATGCTGTCAGTACTTTTCCTTACATTTTGCAACAGTTGATTGTTGTGGATTATAAGCAGTTCTGTCTCTTGTAGTTTTTAATGAAGTTATGTTTATGAAGACTAAAATCTTCCCCTGAAACCACATGTGCTCTCCCTTTGAACGCCTCTTGACTCCTTGTCCTTTTTTCCAAAACCCTTACATAATGGAAAATAAAAATTAAGTGTATCTATTTTACCCTTCAAGAGTCTTTGTAATTTGAAAGGGCATCTGTACACCCATAGAAATGTCAACATTTACAATTGAAACTGCACACACTGAATTATTTACTTACGCTTTTACAGTTGTGTATTTTGTTGTAGAATATGCATATCAATATGTAGATTTTTTAAAAGAGCAGTTTTAATCTGAGTGTGGTAAGTGTTCCACACACGTGTACTTAGAAGTAGTGCGTAAATGCATCCACCAGCATTAGCTGATAGCAGCCCTTGGAAAGCCTGTCTAGTTATTCTGAGGCCAGGCATATAAACACTCCCTGCCTTCTTATGATGAATACATACCTTCAGGCAGGCCAGTGAACTAAACAAAAGCTCCTGTCCTGCCCCACTCTCAGAAGACTATGAAAATATTTATACTCCAGTGCACACTTTTGCGTCAATTACATTTTATATTCCCTTGTGCCAGAGTAGGGTGTATTTTGAAATCATCTATAATCATTCAGGATGAGTCTGGGAGTGAGTGTCTATATAGCCAGCAGCCAGGGGGAAAACAAAAAGCAAATAGAAGTGGATGATTTTCCTTGATTTATTATGGAATGGTAGCTATAAATAGATGTTTCTCGTCGGTTAGCATTCTCAAATTGGAAGTTGTGTCAGCTTTGGGGTTGTGCTGTGGCTTTGCAAGGTGAAACAAGTTTGCTGTTTTTCGGCAATGTGTTCTGTGATGCTCAGGGAAAGTTAGTTGCTTGTTCCATTGATCGTCCTCATCCTCCCTTAAGTGGCTCCTGGTTAAGAGGGGCTTTTTATGATTGTCTGCTGTGTGACTCGAGATGGTTTTTTATCAGCCGGAGCGTGCCAGTTGCCTGCAGCTGGAGTCAGGCTTGTATGAAATAATTTATTCATGCAGGATAATGCTCCTTAACATTTAACAGGTAATGAACGTGACATAAATTTCCTTCTTGCTTTTAATTTTTCCCTTTCCTCTTCTAATGTGCAAACAGGCAGCTCTGGTGCTCTAAATAATAAGTAATTTTTGGCCATCTGTCAAAAGGAAATTTCAATACAAATTTAAATTAATGGTGCCTGAAATTTTTTATAGCTCCTCTAAAAGCCTCTAATGTGCAGAAAATTCTGAATCTGCTGGTAGTAATTAGTGTTGCATGTAATGAGGATGTGGGCAATGTTATACAGCCCCAGTGTAACATTTTGATATGGTAGCAAAATTTTGATTTATACAAGGTTGTGGATGGGTTTAATTGTGAGAGACACTTTAAAATGTTTTCTTGACGTTACAGATTATTAAACAGGGCAGATTTCAGAATAGCTCATAAAATGTAATTTAAACTTACTGTAAAGATTCAGATAATTAAGGTGCCTTACCTTTTTAGATGTCGAGTAAAATGAGAAAAATTCACTTGTGAAAGTGTTGAGCCTTTTTCTTCCTTTTCCTTTCTCTTCTTGGAGGTTCTGTGGCCACTAAACCTATGCTATTGGCTTTATTGATCTTGTTTTCTATAGCTCCAGTAGCCAAGTTCATTCCTAAGCCTTTTATTTACAGATCTGTATCTGAAGTTTTTCAACAAGGGTGAAGAAGGTAAATATGGACCTAAATGAGAAAGCACTGTAGAAGCCCAAGAATCGGTTTATTTGGTGACAAGAAACCAGAATGGGGTGTATTGTAGGGCTGTTGACGCGAGGGTCCAGGGCACCTGCTTTTCATTTGGCTCTCTGTAACTCCGTATGCCCAAGCCTGGGTCCCAGAAACACAGACCGTGATCCACTCTTCTCCTTAGGGGTAGGTTGGAAGGCCCAAATTTAGCTCTCCAAGAAGCTCCCACAGTGGGGCTCCCACTTCTCTCTCCTGACCGGGGGCTTTCTCACCATCTTCCGGCACATACGGTACCATTTCTCTCATGCCTTGAAGCATCATAAGCGAAACCAAGGGAACATTCTCTAGTGTGGTGGAACCTCGCACTGCCCGTGCCTCCTGAGGGTAAAGGGGTAAAAGTTGGTTGGCTCCAAAGTGGCATTCCCGTATCCTGCCAGGAGCTGCCCAGTTGCTGGTGGCACCAGTTCATGAAGAGAAATCATTAGGCTCCTCACATCACTCTCCCATTTTTATCTGAGCGGCTGATGGTGAGGATGATGAATCAGAGGTATGAAGGCCAAGTTACCCAAAACTTGGTAGGAATTTGAGGTTGAGCAATTAGTCTTATTACCCCCAAATGTCTATACAACTCTGCTACCGTCTCGCAAATGACAGATACCCAAATCAAGACCAGCCTAAATAGAAATAGAAAAATAGCGAAATTCACTCTCACCAACTATTGGTAAACTCCATGGCCCCTCTCAAATTGGTATTGTGCAAACTTTGTGATTTCATTAGTCCTTTTAATATATATTATGTATCCCAAATGCAGTAACCTCCTCGAATCAGACCTGTGAAGGATTTGCCATGTTTTTTGGTAAAATATAGCACAAGTATATTTGTTCCCTCCAAAGTGGTGGTGGTTTTATCTTACTATTTTCATTGGATTGTTTTCCCCAAAATGCCATGCTCATCTTGAGAGTATGATCATCTTTAGTGACTTGTACACTGCCAGATTAATCTCCAGAAACAGCATACCATCTTAAAATGCCGTGTTTATGTTTCCACACAGTCCGCCAATATGGCACTTACAATTTTTGTAAGTCTTGCTAGCATAAGTATGGGTGGTGCACTTTATTTTTCTAAACTTACATGTAGTTATTTTTCAACCAAAATGCTTTTCTGTGAGTGCATATACTGTGTTTTCCCTCCATTTCCTACGTGAATTCTTTTTGTTTGTTTGTTTCACGGTTTTCAGAATGATCTGCTCATTAGTCATATCTAAGGCAATGCTTATGTATTCTGCCTCTGCTATATTTTGGTGTTTATTCTATGTAGATGATTAAAACATCATACGTTGCTTTTCTTCTTGCTTCCAATTCTTTCCTGTTGGCAGTAAAGGTTTGTCAGTGGAGAATTAGACTAAGACTGTTTTTATATAAAAATTGAAGTGTATGATTCAGGCCAAGAAAGCACTTTTACCTCATTAGTTGGGTGTTACAGGTGAAAGTGGGCTTTTAGCTTGAATTAACAGAATGATTACTTCTGTTTGCCACTTTACTTGGTACACCAAGACTTAATGGTTAAGGTTCTGTTCCAGGATCTTGTGTGACCTGTATGATTTGATGATGGGTTTTTTTCCTGTCTCAAAGGAGTATCAGTCTGAAAAAAGTGTGCCTTTTATACGTTTAACCCTTTGGCATGTCTCGTGTGGGGGAAAGTGGAGAAGAAGCCACTTGAGAAAGAAGAAAGGGGGACCAGTGCGAGAGGGGATAACCCAATGGCCCAGTCAGTTTTGTTTTTAATGCTGCCCCCCCCCCCCGCCCCTATGCACCTGTTTAAGATGGGAATGTTTAGCATTTTACCATGTGGGAGAAAGCTTGATGGGATTGATTCCCATCTTTCATTACTGTAGACTTTAGAAGGACATGTTATAGAAAGACAAAGGCATAAAGTGATAG